GAATAGCTCTCCTGCGGAGAGCTGAGATAACAGCTGCTGGGTTACTCCAAGACACACTACCAGCAATTGCTACATCAGCCCCACTGAGGTCTCCTGCAGGAAGCTTTGAGCTGTATTTCCTTGATCTCTTTCTATCATAGAAAATTACTTAATACAGAAGCCATTTTGCAGGATATCCTGAAGAATGTTCCCTTGAATTTCATAGAGAATACCTGCTTGTCTTCAGAGCTGCAAAATGTGTCATAACCTTTGCTTCATTCAGCTAATGGACCCAAAGGAGCAGTTTTAAGCTTTTGAATCTCTGCCTTCCTCCAGTCCCTCGTGATTCACTTCACAATCTCTTATCCCTCCTGGTACTTTCATCCTGACGCTGAGTTGCTGCACCTGGCACCTTTTCTTGCACAGGGTCCTGGCTGGTGGCACTACACCTGGGGATGAGCTACTTGAGCATTTTCTCTAGCTGTTGCTTAGTATCCAGGTGTTTTTTTCTATTCCTTGCCTGTGCAGAGCACTCTGCAGCCTGGCAGAAGCTGTACAGTTCTCTGCCACATTCCCCATGTCTCTGTATCCCATAGACCCTGAGGAAAACACTGAAGCACTCCTCTGAAGCAGCTTTGATATTCTTCTTTGCACTGAAAGGAAAAAAGCCGGGAAGGGAGAGAGAGTAAATAACTCCAAGAGAGACTGCACAAGCTCTGTGCAAATCACATAGCCTGGAGTCCAACACTAAGCACGTGCATTGGCTGAGCACTTATTGCACCTACTTTTGTTCTAAAGCAGAACAAGGTAGATGTGACCAGTTATATGTTGTATTTTCATTGACAGAGAGAAATTACAAGCTGCAAAGTCACTTGCAGTGACTTTTCTGTACTCCCCTAACAAAAGTAACTCATGAATTTTGGCCCTTTGCCACTGCCCCTGAAAGCCTCTACTCCACATGGGAGAGTTGCTTCTGTTGTGCTGTGCTTCCCAGTGACTCAGAAGCAACCTGGCAGTGCAGATGGGCCCCAACTCATGTACCTCTAGCTTGTTGACCCTGCACTGCCTCCTCCGAGCTCTGGTGAAGGAGACAAAGCAACTGTTTTGAAGGGGGGCTTAGTGCTCTATCAGGACTGAAGCCTTGTGTTTGCAAAATATGGGCATTAGGGCAAGGGTGCAGGGGAACATGTGGATCCAGGCAGCCCGTGCACAGGCATAATATGAGTTGCCCTGCTTGCATGTCCGTGACACCTGAGGGATACATTTTATGTAGTTGATTCAAGGTGAACTGGTCAAAACTACTAGGCTTTTTTTCCCCCATTTCTATTAAAGATACTTTGTGTACCTGATAACAAAAAGGGGATATGCTTCTTCCAGCCAAGCTTGCTGAGGCAGACTGGGACTGTTTTATGGCAGCTCTGGAAAACAAGCTTTTATTCTTTCCAAATTACTTCATAAAAAGAGGCATCAGATTTCCTGTGGCCCTATAATCATGTCAGGGCTGAAACAGAAAGCAGAAGTTAGGTTTTTCTGATGTCTTTGCACCCAGAAGATATATCCCTTTCCAGAGCATGCAGCTCCCTCATCTCAGAGAGGGGTTCAAGGCAACGCTTTCTCCCTGAAAGCAGGGGCAGACATTTGGCTGCTTATTATGGCACTGCCTCTTCTCCAGCCAGTGTGGCCACATTTAAATGCATTTTCCAGCCCTGTAAATCCCACCCAAGAACTTGCTCTTGAGCACGGCCCTGCAGTTCTCTTCAGTCAAAATATGTTTACATGCTAATTTACTGAGATCACAGCAACCGCACCACCCCATCTACACCCTGCATAGCCAAATTATAACACTGTGTTCTAGAGGGTTGAACATCTGGCATGTTTTAAAATGAAGAACTAGCCAGGCTAGCGATGGTCAGCGCTGCGTGCTGCCCAGGAGCGGGGGTGGATTAAATTGGCCAGTGCCTGGCTCAGTGTCCCCAGGCCTCATGCTGGGAGTGCTGAGGAGGCAGCTTCTGCCTCCCGGGTGTGAAGAGCCGGCCCTTCGACCGCTTGCAGTTGACTGTGTTGGGAAGTCAAGGGTGGACACTTCTGAGGCTCCCCAGAAAGCCCTTTGACTGGTCTTCTGGGTGAGGCTCCTGGCTGCAATACAAGCTGCCTAGATAACCCCCCCCCAGCAAATCACTTTATGGGCAGATGTATAGAAGAATGGGGCACTTAGAAGCTCACCTTGTTTTTGGGGAGAGAACATTCACAGATGTCTGCCACACTGTCCCACCCACCAGAAACTTCTGTCTTTTTTTTTTTTTTTTTTTGCCTGCATTCTCATCAGAGCAGTGTGCTCTTCCTTTCCTACATCCTATGCATGCTGTGCTCTTTTTGGGACCAGAAGCCATTTCATATGCTGCACAGCGCCAGACAAAAGCTTCCTCTTGCCACTGAGGCATCATGATGTTTCTGCAGCATCAGGAACGATCCCAGCTTCCTTGAAATTTCAGCAGCTCTAGGGTGAGGCTAAAGCCATTTTTCACTTCAGTACGATAGCCTCTACTGCCCAGGGGCTCCGAAACACCAGGTGTGAATTGAAAACATCACTCCATCCGTTTCAGAGATGTCTTCGTAAGAAGTGTTTCATTCTTATCCTGGACTGTGTCAAAATGATGGGCTGACCAAAACATTCAGCTGCAAATTACTTAGCACCTGTAGTCTTCAGAGACACTCAGAGCAGGTTAACCCTCCTGGAAGTTGTCTTTGAAAGTAAGTTTTATGTTGTGCTGTTCAAAGAATGTTATCTGAGAGATGGGGATGAGCCAGCCCCCGTGGAAACAGGGATAAGAAGCAGAGGTCATGCAGTATCTAACTTGAGGTGCCTTGCTCTATTCTGATGAACCCTCACACTGGATGTGTCTTCTGTGTGACTATCTGTGAACACAGCCAGTATTGTAGAGTTTGTAGAGAGGGGGTTTAAACCATGTGAAGGTTAATTTCCTGGACTAAGCAGGGGAAGCCTCTTTGCTCCATCTGTACTGGGTTGAAGACTGTGCTTAATCACACTTCATTACAAGCTGAAGCAAAGCAGCACCAAGGAGTCTGCAACCAGCTGGTCAGCCCAGAGGAGAGGCCATAGAGGGAGGAAGTGTGTTTCATAAATGTGGGTAAGGACTATACATTATGAGCGTGCTGGGAATAAAAACGAACTTGTACCAGCGCACACAGTGCCTCAAATTTCAAACCAGTTCCTGTGGGCCTACTTAAAGCTTATTCCAGTTTCTGAGAAGTCACTGGTTCCAGCAATATTCCCTATGCTTAACAGTGAGGAATGCTGCCAGATCCAGTAATACCTCTAGAAATGCGATAGAATTATTAAGTGCAGTTAGCGTTCCTGTTTATTGTTAGAGGCGTGATGTCTCAGCTTGTCTGGTGAGTTGCTTTCTTTCATACAACACTCATATACTCAAAGAAGCAAAAGATAGCCAGAGCTCTGCTTTTTATGCTGGACAAGGGTTTTAAAGCCCCTTGGTCTAGGTCACACCTGGCTGTTACGCTGTCCTGCACTAACTTCTATTCAGAGGTCTTATTAGCACCATGCTGATGGATGGGCTGCCTGAGAAAGGAAGCTTATACGGCCCTCGGATACCCTCATTACAGCCAAGCAGAAAACTTTGCCATTTTTAATGTCTTTTTTTAATAAAACAAAGACTTTTGACTTGGTGTCAAGCCAATATCCCAAAACAAAACAACTTTTTTATTTATGTTTCACATTGTTGGAGCATTCAGCTGAAAATTGTTGTGTGTGTTGGTTTTTTTAAAACCATGTGGAAAATTGCCTTTCTACTATCTCTCCTTTTTTATTAGAACAAATAGACACATAGTAAAAATATGAGCCAGCTTCTTTTTTGCTAATACTACAAAAGAGGGAGCAAAGCCGGCTTCCCCTCATTTTCCTTTACTTCTTTATTCTGTCCTATCTTTGCCAATTGGAAACAGAATTCAGAGAGTTACTTTGTTTCTGGAAACAGCTCTTGCAGGGCTTAACTGTGTTTTCAATGCTTTCCAAATAGAAGTGCTTTTTGGGACCTAGATGATCTTCCTGAAATTTTTGATACAGAAAAATTGAGGGAAATCTGAGAAAACAGTCTAAATTCACAGTTTTGGTGCCATTTATTCTCTGTGATGTTTGTTTGATGAGGGGAAGTACCCCTCATCACAGGGGAATAGTCACAGGGGAAATCCGATTGGCAGTTGCTCTGATTATTAATCACAATAAAGAGAATAAAATACAAATACAAATAAAAAGGCTGAAACTGCCAGACCTTTTCCTATATTTTCTTCTCCAGCACTACTGTCACTACTCTTTCACGAGTAGCCCATCCTTCCACAAGCGCTCTGTTGTGTATGTAGTGTACACAGCTAGGAGCAGAGGTAATGGAAGATAAAACAAAACAGTTCTTCCCGTGATACCGTTCAACTCTGAAACAAATATAGTTTCTCAGTTCAGAAGAAGAGATCCTTCATTAGTGACACTGTAGAGCTACATACGCTTTTTCTCTAAATTAGTAGCAGGAAGACAAACAGAATGGAAAAGCAGCTCTGTAGTGAGAGAGGAAGAGAGAAGACTTTGCAAGTACTTTAGTTGTGTTGATAAAAGAAAAAGTTTCTGATGCCTTGGCATAGAATAAATTTGCTCTCCTTCTTTTTCCAGATTAAGAATTGGGTGTTAAATGAGACTTAATAAGGACTCATCATTGATTAGAATTGTTGCTCTGGAAAAGATTAGGAGAACATTTGTTTTTCAGTTTGAAAATAAAGTGAAAAAGCCTTGAAGGAACTTTCCAATGTGGTTTTTCATCTGGCTTGGCAGGTTCCTCCTGGAGAACAGAAACCCGAAAGAAGATGGGAATTAGGAAAACATACTGTGACCCGGATAGAAATTCTTCAGCAAAAAGGGAAATGAAGGAGCAAAACAGTACATAATGAAAACCAAAAATCTTCTTTGACCGTGTGCATCTGTCTTCTTTCTTCTGCAGGGCCAAATATTTCCAAGGGAAGAAGGTGAATGGAGAATTTGATATCCGAGTGGAACAGGTCAGTGATAACTGAACTCTGCTGCAGGAAATATGTGTGGACAGGGCTGAGGTCTAAACTGTGGATATCCTTCAAGAGAAGAAAGGAACTAGAGAGGAATTTTAAGTCATATCTGTTTTATAGAATTATGGAAGCCATAAATGAAAATAGCCTATAGGGCCATCTCTTCCCTCCTCTCCGCCTTCGCAGAGTCAGTCTCTATTTCACCTTTAGATAAAATTTTCAGTTCTGGTTATGGGACCATCATTTCTTCCACTGGAAGACTACCTCACAGCCCCATATATGTGCCTGCAAATGTGCAAAGCCAGTATGCCACAGTTCATGTGGGTGATGTTAATTCCACATGCAAGCTATATGAGCCTGGTGACTTATCCTGATTCAAGCCTAAATTCTTTAGGCAAAAACTCATGGCAAAAACTCTGTATCTGTTGAAAGACCATAGGAACAGTAAGGGCTCTCGTGTCCTGTTCTCTGCCCCCAAACTGACATGCCCTGCAGGAGGTTGGGCCAGTTTCTTGTTTCTCTGGTCCTCTGTTAGCATTGGCACCAACCACTTATTTCATTTGCAAACTCTTCATGGTGGGGACTGTTCCTTCCTCTCTGTGTTGTTGAAGTTCCTAGCAAAATGAAGTCCCAATATTGACTGAAGCGTTTAGATATTATTGTCACAGTAGCAATAGTTGCCAGTCACCATCTGCAGGTGCCTAACTTGAAAGCAGGCGTAAGAGGGGAGAGGTGAAAGAGATGAGGAGCTAGTGGTCTTGAAGGAATCATGTTTATCTTAAACCCAGCAGTGCTATAAAACTACTTGGATGGGTAAAGAAAGCTTGGGAGTGTTGTTTGAATGACCTGGTATTTTCAGTCTTTATAAAGCTGGTGATTCTGCATCGTGCATGTGTGTGTGTGTGTGTGTGTGTGTGTGTGTGTGTGTGTGTGTATAAATATATTAATCCAGTGGTTTTGAAGTCTTTCTCAGAACACATTCCCTTGAACAAAACGTTCCCTATCTTTTCAAAGGAGTGCTGTCTAGTTGCCTAGGACTGTACATGAGAACACATGCTCTGATCAGAGACTGTGTCTGGGAGAGAAAAGTCAACAGGATGTGTTTTGGAACTGTGATACTATGAGCTCTTCATCTTCCTCTTTGTATTGGTATCCTGCTTGTCAGTACTTACTGGTAGTAACAAGAACAGTTCTCACTTCCACCTCCTGAGCAAAGTCTTTATTTTATAGGCAAGTAAATGTCCCAGAAAAGAATGGAAAAAGAATTCACACTTCCTACATAGAAGCATGGAATCATGTAATAATTTAGGGTTGAAGGGGCCTCTGGAAGTCATCTAGGCCAGCCCCCTACTGAAAGTAGGGCCAGCTTCAAAGCGTCCTGCTCAAAATAAAGTCCTGTTCATAAAACATCCTTTTCCAGATGACATCTTAATTCTTTCCTAAACCTTCAGTCTCTGCCTTTTCCCTCTTAGTCCTCCCCCCTCAAAGGTATTCCTCTTGAGCTTCTTATAAGGGAACTATCTCCAGTGGTATCTGAGCAGAGGAAGGCAGAAATGGACTCTGGATTTCTGATGGGATAGAATAGTAATGACCTTCATCAGTCATTGCTAGGCAGCTTATAGCATTCCCCAAAGACTCTTCCAGTGAGACTCTCCCAGTCCAACTCTTGAGACCCTTCACGTAGGCTGAGTGTCCGTGGTTAAGAAAAGGTACCAATTGCTCCAAGCAAAGGCCATAAGGCTGGCCTGGCTCTACTGGTGAGGGCTGTTACCAGCAACCCTTGCAGACCAATTTAAATATTCAGTGTAGCAGCTGGGACGCTGCTTGAGGGGATGAATTGCATACTCAGTAGGAGAGTTTAGTAACAATGAACAAGAGCGCAGGCTGCTTCCACTTGCCCCCTTCCTGCCCCTCCGATCAGGCAACTGAGCTTCAGCGTAGCAGGCTGGGAACTGCTCTTGACTCCCCTGGACCTTAAACACAGAAGAGACCATCACTTTCCCTGGTTAGATCACTGTCTATCAAGGGAAACACAAAAGCTCCTTTGTCATGGGCAGTCCTCGAGTCTGACCTCAGGCCCCTTTGCATGTCATTCAGGCTGAGAGAGGGGCACTTCACTCTTCAGACTCCAGCTCTTTGTCCTCTTCTGTTTTTACTCACCCTTTCCTCCTCAAAATTTCATGATATTTTATTTTTGTTCATTGCTGCTTCCAAGGTTACCTGCAGCCTTCCTCCCGGATTCTAAACTTTCATGGAACATGTCCCCTGAGGCTGAACGCAGACCTTCCAGACCCAAAAAATGAATGCTCTTCCACCATGTTCTGATGGAAAAATATGGGAAATAACTGTGCTTACCTGCCTGGCCCACACCTTTCACTTTGAGTTCCCAGGTCACCAGTCTTTACAGCAAAGCCAGAAAAGGATCAGGAGAACGGCACACAAACTGTGCCAGGCTGCAGCAAGACCTTATCTGTTTGTTCAGTTCTGAATAAATTCTTTATCAGATCAAAGCTTAACTCTTGGGGCGACTCTGAAGCCACTTGGTCTGCTCAGTAAGTTCATTTGCTTTTTCAGCTTTCCATTCGATCATGCTTCAGATATCCACACATTATTGCCCAAACAGAAATATAGATTGTCTTAGGAGAGCTTTTTATACTTTGTAAGCAAATACATTTTTGACATGAAAAGCTGAATAATAAAAAAGTTTGAATGGTGGAAAGTTGTAAAATTAAATATTCAAATGTTTAACATTCTTTAAAAAAAGCATTGAAAGGGGAACTGCCTTAATTTTTCAGAGTGCTAATTTTTTGCCTTTCTTCCAGGGATGCTGAGTAGTTGGTTTAAATTGAAGAAAGAGTTTTCTTCCTTGCTTTTTCTCTTCCTCTTTCATCTCCGTCTCTGTTACATCTTCATTCTATCTTAACAAGCCATTTTGGCAGTCTTTGGGAGAAGCAGAGAAGGAAAATAGGAATTTTTTTTAAGTCATGACATCACTTATTTATAATGGAGTGGGAGTGTTGAAAGCAGGAGTCTTTCTCTCTTTCTCAGCAGCGGGAAGTAAGTTATCTAATCTGGTTACACTCCCCTAGCAGCACTCTGAGTTGCCTCTCCTCCTTGGCTGTCGTTAGAGGAATGCAAGATGTCTATGATCATGGTCTCGCTCACGCTTTCTTTGTCTGTCTATCCCCCACACACACGCCACTGTGGAAGCCACTCACTAATTTCAACCGCATTTGACAAACAGACAGACTTTTCAAAGATATAAAATTTCTACCAGCTCCTTCAGCAGAGGTGAATTCAGTTTGTTTTAGACCCTGACTAATCCACAGGGAAGACACAGTTAAAGGCCATCCAGCTGCCCAGGGTATTGCTTCCATAAGTTTCAGCTTGTATGAAAATAGGTTTTCTGGACTCTTGAAAAAGGTTTGCTGGGTTAACACAGAAGTGAACCACGTTACCCTGATGCCACCCCAGGCGCTTGTTCTTCAGGTAGGTCTGTTAATGCTGACATGATGATAACAGACACAGCAGGCATTGACTGGTGCCAGTGAACAGGTGAAAGAGTTGTCAGTGACTCTGCAATGGGTACATACTCTCAGCCTCTGCTCTTTCCTGTGATTCATTAAAATGAATGTGAGGGCTGACTTTGTTTCCACTTCTGTTTCTTCTCTTGTGATCTTCAGTGTAGAACCCCAAACATATTTATTAACCACCTTACAGGCTGCAGGATTTATTATCACACGCTCTTGATTTAAACCCGTGCATGCAATTCCACTGTTGTCCTTCCTTTGGTGAAGAGCTGGCTGCAGAGCAAGTGGCGCAGGAGCTGAGCTCTGGGATGGTGGAAAGTAACCAAGCTCCTGGAAGGAGGGAAGAGAAAAGGAGAAAAATGAAGCCATTCTCTAAAGTGAAAGGGGCAGAATCAAATGCCATTAATAGCAGTGAGGGCTTCAGGTTTGGGCCACAGAAAGGTAGTGGTGTTGAATAACCTTTGTTATCATCTATCATAGGGGAGCTGGGGCCATTTACAGTTACAATGCATCCAGAGAAGATCACTGATGCCAGAAGCATTTCATCATATGAGCTGTTCTGTTTCCCTAATATCCTCCATTTTCACATTGGTCATATTTATAGCTTTCAGCTCATCCAGCATAACATCTGTTTCCAAAGCTTCCTTTCCTTCTCATCTTAGATATCAGAAGAGCCACTGAGGAAATTCAGCCAAAGCAGAGGAAGCCACTAACTGGGAGGGGGCATGGGGGAGTGGCAGGAGGGAGAGAGGGAAGGTTACCCCTGCATTCAGGTATGCCATGCATCTTTCCTCTGAAGGGACAGTGAATCTTTCCATCAGCATTTTTAAATAAATCTAGTGCTGGCATAAATAAAACTGATTGATAGGCCTGAGTCTTCTCCAGGATCTTAATCCCCAGAGTGAGGCACAGTGCAGACCTATAGCTTTCTCCCTTTGCCCCTTCAGTTTATCTCTAGCTTAATCCTGGAAGAATTTTCCCAGAACAGGGAAGTAAATTCAGTATAGGTCCATTTAGGGTTCTGTACAGCACAGAAAGTAAGCATATAATATATTTGTAAACAGAGATATATTTCCATTTCAGAAAGGCACTTAGAGTTCTTTGCAACATAAGTTTGCACAAAATATAGCTTATGTGCAAGTGCTCTCCTGAACTGGGGCCCTTTTTTTCCTTTGGAGGCAGTTTGGATTACATCTCTATTATCTGGATGTTTTTCCACTAAAAATCCTTCCGTAGCAATGAGATTTGGTCGTAAGACTGGATGAAATACACATTAAAAAGTGAAAATCTATTTGACCTATTCCCATGAAAACCCTGATGGTTTAGATCTTATTCAGTGTGGGTAAAACTCTAATCTTTTAGAAGCAGCTAGCCCCAAAGAATAATATTGCTAGTTTATGTTAAAAATAAGGTTTTTAGATTCTGATTCATGTCTTTATCGCTTTTATTTGCCTTATGCTTTCTGAG